GAATAATATTTATGTTGCACACTTAGTTCTAAAGAGGTAAAGCCATGCACCCGCTTAAGCGTTTGACTTGTGGATATCAGAGAATGCAAGGAATATGATGAATGTAATTCTGTAACACCGTCGCTATGCAGTCGCAGCGCACAGTGAAATGAAGTCGAGCCAGTCCTTAATGATATATCTTTTCATAATTTCGGGTTATGTTCCATTAAGTATTATGACTACTGATCTGACAAAATAATTCTTTGGAAATATGGACATAGTTAAGATTTATTTTACTATTTCTCTTCTGAGTTCGCGCGGTAACGCGAGAGAACCATATTTGCAACATATCGCACGATAAAGAAATACGTATAAAAAGGTAAAGTTGTTGGCAACACTGCGAGACAACGAGACACCGCGAGAAACGGGAGACATTGTAAGAACAAAGAAAATTGAATTGCCCTAACAAGACTCTTTCATCGGAACAATTTTAGCGAATGTTTAACTTCTGCTGTCTGTAACTCGAACTGTAATTTGATAACGGCCTCCTGAGAGCTTTTGTATTACTCGAGTTTTGACAACTGAATATTATTTAACGAATTTGAAACTTTCTTATCAAAATATATTTTATCCAACCAAGTAATATTTCTAATACAATGTCGTTTTTGCTACTGTTTATTACGCTTTGTTTATATCAAATGTTACTGATTTACCTCAAAAATTTCACACATTCTTAAGTCAAAAACATGTTTTTAACTCTGACAGTGCTGCTTTATAAATGCTAAAGTTTACGTGGATATTTGTTAAAGTTTGCCGCCTAAATTTCTGAACGGATTTCGATGAATTTTGGCATAGTCGTAGAGTATTATCTAAAACAACACAGATGCTCAGTTTTGTTTTTCTAATTTCACGCAGAGTAAGTAGCGTGTGTAAGCTAGTAAATATGTAAATTCTACGAAATCCTAAATCCCAGTACTGTATAACATTTGCCCTTGTATTGGCAAATGTAAAATCATATTTGCAGTGAAGGCAGGTCGCGTCCTCGATCGCGCGATTTTCAGCACCGGAAACCTTTTCAGCATAATTTTCATATCGCCACCCTCAGGGTGCGCGGAGATTTCACAATCTGGCTCTTACATACATAACTTGACAGTTTTAGTTGCTGAAGAAAATCACTATTGATTTTTGTTAGTTATTTGATGCTTACTGGAAGTATGTAATTGGATACCATTCTTATTATTGTCTCTGTTAAATATTATGAAGAAAAAAGAGAGGTAAGATTTTTATAAATATTTCGATTTTGGAAACATTCAGTAAAGTTGTACCTATGTAGCATTAAATTTTTAATTTAATAAAAGTCGTTGAAATGTTTTAAATATTTATTACTAGTAAATATAGAATGTAATATTTACACGGTTTGTATAATAATAAATTTATTAAATAAATAAATAAATTAAATTACGTAACTTATAGTTAATACAATATTTTGTAACACATGGAATATATCAGTACATAGAACTAAAAAAAAGGATACGATAAAAATCCTAATCACATTTCTGACAAATTTGTTTCATTTGTAAATAAATAATGCGAGATCACAATAAAATATTAACATTTAAACAAATATTACTGAAATATTAAAATACAAATTAATAATTAAGCTATCAATTTGCACTTAAATCTTTTTAAGTTAAATTCAATACAAACTATGGTCTTTTAATACAATTAATAAATGAACATCTTTGTTTACGGTTTTTTACATCTATGTTTTGTAAAACACTCAAAAGTTTTAACTTTGAGTGTAAAGAAATAACTATTACAACAAAAACAAAATATTCCCTGTAACATTTAATTCGTATTTAGTATGGCTCACTGGGTTCTGTTCAATGGCATCTGTAATTTTATTACTCTAGTGTATTAACAGGAATTTAAATTACATTATAAAATACATTTATGACTAGTCTTTAATCTACGGTAAATTACATTTATCAAAATTTCTCGACCATGGTTTTGTTTTTATTACTGCTGTCTACCTCTTCAACTTCTTTTACACCATCCTCTGCAAAAAATGTATTGAATATTTTTAATAATTGAAAAATTAAAAGTAGCAACACTTTTTTTCATGAAACTCTCATTGCTCCTCCCAACAAGTGTTTGAATTGTGTGCCCCTTATGAAATATTCATAGCAAAATTTTAATGCGTTTTGTTTTAAAATTTAACATAGATGTCGCTAGCTTACCTAATGTCTTAGCAGCCTGCGGTTCATTCCAGTCCTGGACTTTGCCTGACATGAACAGTATGAAGAACAGATTGCTTAGGAAGTAGAAAGCGATCGAGATCAAGAACACGTTCCTCCATTCTGATGCACTCGACTAGAAGAAAGTAAAACAAAATGTGTAAACTAATCAATATCATGAATTAAATAATACTTGTGTATTGTGTAACGTCTAGTCAAAATTAAACACAATGCTGACCTCATCTTTGACGACGAGGGAGACGCTGAGTGGAGCCATAATGGAGAAGATGTTCCCGCAGCCGTTGGTGATGCCCATCAGCGTGCTGGCGAAGTTGGGCGACAGGTCAATGTGCGAGATCTGATAAATAAGAATTAGTAATTAAACTATGATAATCTTAAAGTTACTAGCCTAATCTAGGAATGATTTTGTACATTTAAAGTAACTCACTAAAAAGCCGACGTAATGTGCGCCATTGAGACCGACTGTGAGGGTCAGAATAACCACCGCTAGGGTCAAGTGACCTGCCGGGATGTACGACAGGCCCAGAAGAGCGGCCGCAGGACCCCAGAATGCTAAAATAATTCAACATTAGATTTTGCAATGCAGTCGGAAGAAATAGTTACTGACTAGAATCTAGAAATTACCGATAGTATTGAAAAGTTTCCTGGCCGTGGGCAGGCTGATGATATTCCTGTTGACGAGGAAGTCAGCGGTCCAGCTGAACACGAAGCTGAGGATGTACA